GCCCTTCTTATTTGCAGTTTGAGCCATTTATAGACGCAGAGATAACATACAGGAACAATTAGGTTTTTAAGTTTTCCCTGTCTCCGTGGAATTGGGGAGCCAAAAATATCGACGTCAACACCCTGGGCTGGCGGGTTAGCCTGAGCAGACGTGAAGGCCTTGGAGAGTGACCGTGGGCCTGAGGCCACAGGACAAGTCTGCATCCAGACGAACCTGTATATCTTTCTTAATTGCTTTGGTTTCTAGTCCGTTCTACAAATTTCAACCTTTTAAGACGATCTGAATTTTCTTCCAGCTTTCGTTATCATATCTTTTGGGGGCATATTAAGTGTGTGCAGAGAGACTGGCAGGGCGTTCTACACCGATAAAGAGTTACAGTCTCAGAAACTCACGGGCCAGTTCTACCCTGTCCTATAGGGTCAATGGCAGTTAATTAGATTTCTTAAATGTGAAACCAATGCATAGTTGGCGTTGAAGGAAAGCCAGACATCTCACACATAAGGATACGAGTGCTGTTTCAGATGTGACTATAATTAATATGCCACATAATTATACTTTTAATGGATCTTTGGAGGTTAGTTTATAAACTATTTTGATGATTTGTTTTTAGTTAACCAGAGTAAGAGCCAAATATCATGTTAGCGTATTCAAAAGTCCATAAATAATGGAGGCCTTGTCCAGAGATTGAATTCAAGACTCATGGGTCACCCTAACTAAATTGACAATGAGAGAAAATGACATGACTAGGAATTTAGAAACTAGAATCTCTCTCTTGAGTTTTTCAGTATATGCAGATGTGTTTGTTAATGATCATTTCATTGGAAGGATCATGTCAGAGAAATAGTTTCTGTCTTTTCTGCATGTACTTTCCCCGTCGCTTTCTTGTCTTGCCCAGTTGCCAGGCTAAGTTCCTGTACAGAATTAGACTCAACACTGCTTGGAAGAGAACATACTTCTGTTTCTGGTTGAAGGATGTGTTGCTTTTGTAAAGGGCTTATTTGGTTCTAAGGTCAAGAAACAAGAAGTTATGATAAGTTTTTCCTTGCTCATGTTTATGGTTGATTTCCTTTTGTGACCATAGTAACTATAACAGAATTAACCATTAGCTTGTTGGCATGGAGATTTTGCATCATTGCCTTCTTATCATTACCAAGTATTGAGGGGTTTGCCTGTGCTTGGCAAAATATGAAAAATAAGTGGAGATTTAGGATAAAGAGTAAAAGAAACAAAAATCAAAATCATTCTCTGAGTACCTTCTTCTTCGCACTCGCTCTTTTTGACAGGAAGAATTGATTTCCCCCAAACCCAGGCACTTGGGCATTATTTTGTTGTATAGTTATTATGAGGCCTTTAGGGAAAGGACAATTTCTTGCTCATGTTTCCTCTTCCAGAACCCTGTGCTTTGAAAGCAAAGAACAAGATAGAAGTGGATGTTGTGTTTGTAGCTGCTTCATCCATGCATGTGCTACAGAGCTCCCCTTGTGCCCGGTCCTGTAGATTTCTGGAAAAGGGAGAGACCATTGATTGTCTCGGGAGAGATTTAATGAGTTGCAGGGTCTCTGTTGTAGTTAGGGGCCATCGCGTTGATTCGGACTCATCTGACAGAGCAGAACTATCCCCTTGGGTTTGCTAGGCTGAAAAACCTTTATAGGGCAGGGGCCTTGGTGGTGTAGTGGTTACGAGTTGTGCTGGGAACTGCGAGGTCAGCAGCTCAAAACCACCAGCCACACTGCAAGAGAAAGATGAGGCTTTCCACTGCTGTAAATTGAGATACGGCTGTGGAGACCCACAGGGCCGGTTCTACCCTGTCCTCTATGGTTGTTGCGGGCATAGACTCAGTGCCAGTGAATTTTGTATGTTTGTTTGTTTTTTACTCTTTATAGGAGCAGATTGTTGGCAGTTTCTCCCTCAGAGCCACTGGGTGGGTTCAAACCACCAACCTGTCCGTTAGCGGCTGAGTGCTTACTGTTCTGCCTGAAAGATGGTCTTTAGTGGGATGCATATGAGGGTGTTTGAAAAACTTCCTGGAGAAATTCCAGTATCCTCTCATTCCATGGTTCCACGAACTCTTTGAAGCCCCCTCATAGGACATAGAAGAGGCAGCGCCGGAAGAATGACTATGGTAAGACTGGGCATGCCCAGGGTCTGCTTGTTAAGGGTGCAGTAAGGGTTGGCAATACTGAGATGCAGGTTGAGGCCAGGCTGTGGAAGGAGCACTATCATCTTTTCATCGGTGTACCTTTTTGCTATTGATCAATCCAAAGTAAACATTCTAGAGGGGAGGCCACTTTTGAGAACTTCACTGTGAGCTTAAAGATTTGCTGTGTATTTACTACGTACCAGGCACTTTGCTAGGAGGCAAAAATAGATACGATTCCTTAACCCCAGAAAGCTGGCTATTCGCCTGACAGGCAGGGCTAATGGCAGCACAGTGTGATCAAGGCCAGAGAGGGGACAGCATCATGTTAACATCACACGAGGACTATCCCAGGTTTGGGAAGTAAAAAAATCGGGCCTGTGCCAACACTATTAAAAATATATATGCATATTATTAGTTGGGATTTAATACGTATATCATTCCATATTTTCAGTCACGTCAAGTAGAATTATACGATTGCTACCACAATCATTCTTTTCCTACATGAACTCCTTGACATCGCAAGACTGCAAATCTCTACAGGAGCAGACAACCTCATCTTTCTTTCTTTAAAAATTAAATGCGTTTATTAGGGACTCTTACATCTCTTATCACAATCCAGACAATCATCCATTGTGTCAAGCACATTTGTACACATAACGCCATCATAATTTTCAAAGCATTTGCTTTTTACTTGGGCCCTTGATATCAGCTCCTCATTTCCCCCTCATGCCTTCCCTCATGAACCCTTGATAAGTTATCAATTATTATTTTCATATCTTACATCGTCCTCTGTCGCCCTTCACCTACTTTTCTGTTGTTCGTCCCCCTGGGAGGGGGTTATATGTAGATCCTTGTGATGGATTCCCCTATTCTCCCCCCACCTTCCCCTTATCCTCCTGGTATCTCTAGTCTCATTGTTGACCCTGAGGGGTTTATCTCGCTTGGATTCCCTGTGTTTCCAGTTCTTATCTGTAGCAGTGTGCATGTTCTGGTCTAATTCATTTTGTAAGGTAGAATTGAGGCCAAGAGAGTGGGGGGAAGAAAGCATTAAGGAGCTAGAGGAAAGTGGTGTGTGTCATCAGTGCTAAACTGCACCCTGACTGGCTCATCTCTTCCCTGTGACCCCTCTGTGAGGGGATGTCCAATTGCCTACAGATGGGCTTTGGGTCTCAACTCCACGCCCCCACCCCCCAATTCACATTGGGTATGATTTTGTTCTGGGTCTTAGATGCCTGATAACTTACAATATTTTTTAAAGCATTTTAAGAAACCTGGTTTTTGAATAATGATCCGTACTATTTTTTAATTATGATTAATAGGTGCCTACCTAATGTAGCTAACACACTGCCATCAAGTCGACTCTGATTCAAGTGTTTTTCGTAGGCTATTAATCTTTACTGGAGCAGACAACTTCATTCCCTGCCTACCCCCCCTCCCTCCCCACGGCCCTCCCACCGCAAGCAGGTGGTGGGTTTGAATTACCGGCCTTTTGGTTAGCAGTCCAGTGCTTCATAGGTGCTAGTTTCTGCTCTAAATACAGTTTATTTGTGTCAGTCAGTATGGAGCTCTTGAAAATATCATTCACATTTAAATCAAATCATATGAAATGTCAAAAGTTTTCATTTTCACAAGAGCATTGACCAGCCTACTAATTTCAGGATTTGGGTTTTTTAAATTTTTTATGAACAACCCATATATGTGCAAAAACTCAAAACACATATAGACAGTCTCTCTGTTTCGGATTTCAGTGTTTGGGAAGATGAAAGGTTTCAAAGTGAAGCTAGGACAATGTACACTCATCTCTTCACCATCCTCGACCTTTGTCATGATTGGTCATTTAAACAAAGGTCAAGCTCAAGTACAGAGAATTCAGGAAGCATTTAAACCCTTCGGCATATATAAAGTAGTGATTTATGCCCATGGGAGAAGGGTTGTTGCCTGTGCACATGCGTGTTGGAGAAGAGAGCTCGCTGGTGGCAGGCTCCTGAGTGCTGCGCAGGGCCGCTTGGTCCCAGCTCTGTGCTTGGCCCAGTGTGTGCTGCCAGCTTACCACTGGGATGTGCTCTCACTGCTGGACGGTCTTTTCCTGCCAAATCCTGTCCTTGTGCAAGATTAAAGAACAGAGCCCGTGTGGCCTGCGTCTCGATCTTGCTGAGAATATTAAGACTCCTGCAGGTTGTAATACAGATTAGCTGGTGAGATCGCTGTTGGGGAAGTAAAGCGAGTTTTTCTAAATGAATTTGACAACTGCTGGGAACCTTTTTGCGTCCTCCAGCTTGAGTGTGGGGCCGGCAGTTAACCACTTATTTCCCTCGTTTTTTTGCCAGAATTGCTTCCACCCACCTCTGTGTTCATTTATCACAAACACTTCCCTAAGGTTACGTTCGGTTTCTTTCTTCTTCCTCTTGGTTTCGGTCAGATAATGCACTTGACACATTATTAAGTGTTGATGAGTCATTATTTACTTCATTCACTTAAAGAGGAAAGATATGTAGGTGTGCATGTGTATGTGTGCCTATGGAGTTCATAGGGAGAGCTTTAATGTTATTTATCTGTGGGAGAAAGATGAGCCTTGGAAACCCGGGAGGGAGGCATGTCCTGTGCTGCCCTGTAGGGTCTCTGAGTTGAATTGGCTTGATAAGAGTGAGTTTGGTTTCCTGTGGAATGTTATTTATCTTTAGGCAGTCCCCTGGGGGTATGCATTTCCAGTTTCCTACAAGCCATTGTTATGACCCAAACCTCAGCAAGCATCTAAGGATTCCTGGATCACTACAGGAACTGGTCCTGGGGTTCTTTAAGAACAAGGTAGATAGCGGCATCTGTCACTTTTTATCCCTGAGTTCTGATTCCCTGTCCTCAGGCTACAATCCCCTGGGAAACGGTTAAGGCAGGAGAAAGGAAGGAAGGAAAGACATTCACTGGGAGCCACGCCCTGGAGACGCAGCACAAACACGCACTGGAACGCAGGGGAGGCAGCTCGTTGTCTATGGCAGAAGGGAAGTAAAACCCCGCGAGTCTCTCCCCACTGCGGCTCACACCTGGCTTCACAGTGAGTATCTTGCTGTTTGAGCCGCGTCATTTGCTTGTGGAAAGTCTGCAGGTGGCAGTACACTGGTGGCACAGCCATAGGTCACCTGGAAGTCACTGCGACACAGCAGCAGGTCCACCCACCCAGGTCTCCAGCCCGAGTCTCCAGCAGGTCCTCCAACCCGAGGGTTTCATAGATCTTGCCCAGCTCACCACGGAAGCAACTGGCCTCAGCCTCCTGCTTTCTGCCTCCAGTGGTCCATACTAACAGTAGGGTACTGCTTTGTTGACATGCCTCCAGACCCCACGATTATGTGAACCCTTTTTTAGAGTGTCTGGAAGTGTTTCTTTGATGTTTTGTATGGATAGGTACCCTGTAAACTACAACATTTGACTAAGTGACGCTAGATAGAAGCTCTGCCAACTGAGGTACAGATCTGACTTATTAGGAATGAGACATGTTCATACCCAGAGACTGCCCCTAATCCAATAAGTCATAGTTGCGAGTAGATTCCAACACAGAGCGACCTCATGTGATACAATAGAATGGTCCCCAAGGGTTTACAAGGCTGCAGTCTGTCTGGGGGCAGAGTGCCAGGTCTTTGTACCGGGGACCAGGCGGGTGGATCTACGGTGCCAAGCTCTAGGTGAGCAACTGAGCACTTAACCATTGTGCCATCACATCTTCTTGAGTCCCGCAGACCACGAGGGTGCTCAGCATAGACGGATCAGCACATTGCGTTCTGATCATAAACTTGCCATGCTAGTGGAAAAAATGGTGAAATGTTTATCAAGAGGCGGGACAGATGCCTGGAATTATTGACATTGCTACCAACCTCTCTTCCGTTATGGTTTGGATTCTAGGGTTACAGTGAAACACTTAAGATTCCTAAATCCTGCAAAGAGGATAGGGATCCCCTCCTAATGGAGTAAGTTAAGAAAAGCTCACACACATAGACAACCTGAGAATCATCAGTTTGTTAGAGTTTCTGGCGTGGAAGTTCACTCACCCTTTTTCTAGTTGGGGTGCCCTTGATCTCCTCACTCATGTACTGAGCTGCTCAGTCTGCCTGTTAAGTGGCCCCGTCCCATCTGCTTCTTAAGTTTTCAGTTATCACCCATTTTTGTCTTCTGACACCTCGTGTATTTGTGTGTGTGATTTCGCAGTAAGAGTGCCGTGACTGTGATTTGTACATGGAAAAACACAACCCCATTGTAATACTGCAAAGCTGATAATTGCCATTTTTACTCTGGCAATGTAAGATTATTTGTTGATGAGTACTACAATAATTAGCTTTAAGATTTAAAGGATACTTTTTTTTAACTTGTTATAACAGCAAACCCAAAATTGCATGTATGCAGTGCCGAGAGAAGGTTGAAGGAAAGAGAGGCACTGTTCACGTTGCAGTTTCTTGCAGGCCTCTTGAAAGAGCTTATATTCTGAAGTTATGCTGGCAGAGGAGGTTAGGAAGGTGTCAGAGTCCCAAATGGACTTAAAGTTGCGTTTGCTGAAAATGGCAAAAGTTCGCTTGCAGTTTGCCGGCCAATACTGCAAAAAGAAAAAGCCCCATACAACAAACCTCGCTGCCCTCCAGGCAGCGCCAACTCAGCGGCCCTATAGGGCAGAATAGAATAGTCTCCGTGAGTTTCTAAAACAGCAACTCTTTACAGGCATAGGAAATCCTGTCTTTCTCCCAAGAAGCAGCTGCTGGTTTCAAACTGATGACCTTACAGTTAGCATCCCAATGAGTAACCACTATGCCACCAGGGCTTCCCTTAATCAACACTTGTCAGTGAACTATTTGAAGCTAGAACAGAGGACTTCTGGCCTCCAGTCTTTTTATTTTAATGGGTGGCTCTTCTAACCTTATTGGGGAGCACTGTTAAGCTTACACTCATTCAGAAATGGATACTCCAAGATGCATTAAAAGGGTGGGTGGGTGGGTGGGTGGGGGTGTTGGAAGGTTCCTAAGGGCTAAACTGAAATTATCTCTCACCATTCATGGCTCAAAACACAATTCACCAGTTCAAGTGGGCAGGCCAAGCAAGAAATACATGTGTTATCTCATCAAATATCAGCAGAATCTCTTAAGTTCAGGATCCCTTATCCCAGACTCCCAGTAGAATGAAAAACAGTGAAATTCCATACGTACATAATAGCCTATGGGAATTTACATAAGGTTTAAAGAGTAGTCATAAAACAGGCATGGATGTGCTTACTACCCAGGAGAAGACACGGAATATTTGGAAATCCACTAAAGGCCCCCGTGTCTCTCTTAGGTTTATGCCTCCTTTCCCCCATGAGCCACCAGACACAGAAGAGCTACCAAACCAAGCAAACGCACTGCCATCAACTCGATACTGACTCGTAGCGACCCTGTGGACAGGGCAGAACTGTCCCTGTGAGTCTGTATGAGAGTAGAAAGCCCCTTCGTTCTCCCAAGCAACAGCGGGTGGGTAAACCAAACTGCTGACCTTGTGGCTAGCAGCCCAATGCGTCACCACTATGCCACCAGGGCTCCTAAGAGAAGAGCCACAGCACTTTGAAAATGCAGATATTCGCAGGAAAATGATAAAAAGATCCTCAGAAAATCCAGTCCCCAGGAGTGGAGATAAAGCAGGAGTGGTGCAGTCCCTGTGTCCCTGTGCACTGTTGAAGTATGCAGTCTCGAAGTGGTGTCCACTCCTCCCGTGCAAAAGGCAGTCCTGTTTGTATTGAAGTCTTGCTTGCCCCCTGGAGCAAGGAAAGAGGTGGAAGTGACCATGCAGGAAAGGCTCACTGGGCCAGGCCTTGCCTTTCGTGTCTGGTACTCACGTCTGGTTGTTCTCAGCATCCCTGAGAATGAGAAGTTGTGTCTTTGTGACCCCGAGGAGGAAACCAGCTCTCAAAGGGTACACACATTGCTAAAATGCTTGCAAACTGACCAGTCAGTCTATCTTGAAGGAAGTACAGCCCGAAGTCTCCTTCGAATCAAGGATGAGCAGACTTTGTCTATGTGCTTTGGACATATGATTAGGAGACACCAGTTCCAGAGAAGGACCTCATACTTGGTCAAGTTGAAGGTCAATGGGGAAAAAAAAGAGCAAGACCCTCGATGATAACTTACCTACAAGAGTGAGGGTGGCTCAGGAGGTGAGGTCTAAGAAGAGTTCTCATGCAGCCAAGAACACAGCCAGCACAGCTCGGAGAGTGTGTTAGGAGAGATCAGAGAACAAGGGACTTGGGGGGATGGAGTAAGGCGCCCAGCCCTGGCTGGAGTTGGGTGAGGCTCACAGGTGACGTACAGGAGGAGCGGAGCTGTGAAGAATGAATGAGGATGGAGGCGGCTGCTGAGCAGTGGGGGCTGAAATGTTCCCACAAGGGTTCGCGGCATATTCAAGGAATGAGACGGGGGGAGGGAGGGGGCCTGTGTATGTGAGAAACTGCAAAAATTAGTTTCATCCTAAAGATGTGAGGAGCAACTAAAGGATATTTTGTAGTAAGGGCATGACCGTAGAGTTTAGGGTCATTGTTTGTCGAGATCCCTGGGAATGGATTTCCTAGTCCTGCCGTGAACTTGGGCGCTCTATGGGTTGAGTTTCACTGTAATCGTCACCATGGGTTTTTTTTCTTTTTAATCAATTTTTAAGATTGTGAATTATGGGGGTGGGGGTGTTACATTTTCACTGTGTGATCTTGAGACCCCCCCTTGTACCTGGCAGTCAAGTGTAACGATCATAGCACTGGTATTCATGATGTCTCCTTTTGTAGAATGAAAGGGGGTGGGGGGAAGTCATGATTTTCTTGCATCTCTGGGTTTTTAAGCCGTGCCAAATTTGAAAAATAACTTGGGCAGTTTTCCTGCATCAATTTAGAATTGAATGACAAACGTTGATCAAAGGTGTCTGCGGGTGTGTAAATCGGGCAGTGGTGTGCTCACGCTCCAACTGTGACGCAGGCCCAGGAGAGCGAGTCCCAGACACAGTGTCAGGTTGGCAGGTCTCGGAGAGTGCAAACCCGTATAAATATGTATGCCTTTAGCATTGCATGCAAATGCCACGTTCGCTAGCTCTCATACAAAGATGGAAAGAAAATCTGAGTTAGCTAAAACGTCTGTAATGTGGGTGTGCTGGTAAACTTAGATTAGGTTTAAATGAATACTAAGCCCCAAACCCTTTTGTTGCTTCTGTAGACATAGTTTCCTATGTTAGATGGCAAGCCATGTTGAAGTCAATTGTAACTCAAACACCTAGCCACCTCTTGCTCATTGAAAAAACTGGAGATAGTAGATGCAAATCTGCCCACCCCATTTTATAGTGGATAGAGATGGTCCAAGAGATGACCCAGGCTCCCACTGATCCTCAAGACATAGTCTGGATATGGATATGTGAGTGTGTGCATGGATGGATGAATGGATGGATGGATGGATGGATGGATGGATGGATGGATGGGTGGGTAGATATGTGTCTGTGTTTAATAGAAACATTCCATTATCTTGCCATTATATTTTTTTTCCAGGAACTTTTTGAATCTCCTACATGGCAATTGATGAGGATGCCAACTTGAGGCTATTTATTTACTTCAGACTCCTTAAGTTAGAAGGTAGAAAAGTCACATCCGCACAACTGCATCATTTGGAACAACTTGGTTGCATGTATTTCAGGTATGGAATGGACTTGACACTAGTTAAAAGCAAAGGAAGCGAGTATTGAGTCTTAGGGAGCTAGCTGGTTAGGAAACGAGCAGAGCTCCCTGTGGTATGTGGACTATAGGACACATTTGTATGGTTCTTGGGGCTTTGGAAGTGACCCAGCTCCACAAAGCATTACTTCTCAATCACCGTCTCTCTATTTTCATCTGTTTCAAGTGGCCGTGGTAATAGGTGATGCCGACTGTAGCTGAGAGGATGGGTGGCAGCATGGGGGTGGGAAGCCAGGAAAGCATGGCTCGGCAGAAAGGCACAGGTGGTGACATGACACGCTGGAGCCCAGCTCTCTATGCAGTTGGGTCCATGAGGGATTATGGGCTCTCCTTTATTGGCCTTGTGCAATTTTATTAACATGCCTTTGAGAAACGTGGAGAGCCGTGTAGGCTGGCTCTCTGGAAGCGTCATGGAAATGAGTGTGTCCTTATGTGCAGGAGAGGAAAGCCAAGTGTAGGTCATTGGCCTGCTCTGCACTTGGCTAATGCTCTCTCAAATCCCTCCCAATTGCACACTCTAAGTAAATGGAGGTAATGATTCGTGAGGCTCCCCAGATGCGACGTCTTGAACTGGGAATTCATAGTGGGCGAGAAGAGGCATGCTTGCTGAAAAGTCCAGAGGCTCTTTTCTGGCTTGCAGGTTTGTCTTTTCAAAGAATATTTGCGAGAAGGATGTCATCCCAAAGAAGTCGACCCAACTTTATTGATCAAGTGGGAGACTGTTCAAGTCGGTGGAGGTTTGCTAGTTTACAAGGACATTTTGAAGGTCAGAAGAGTGAATAATTAGACCAGGCTGAAATTAAACCATAACGAGCAATAATCCTAAAGAAAATTACAGCACAGAAAACACTGCATTATTTATTGGGATTCAATGGGAACCTGCCAAGGGAGAGGCAGCTGGCTCTGTCTGCTTCAGAATGTTGGTGGGCTGGAGGAGAGGCTGCCCGGCAGTGGTAAGTTCTCCTTGCAGTCTTGCTCTTAGGCCAGTGCTAACCATAAAAGGAAGGGAAGAGCGCACATAGTTAACTACTTGATATGCAGGAGAGAAAAGACGAAGGGCCATAGAAATCAGCAGAGCTGAGATTCAGGCTGCCTGTCCCCCTGCCATCAGCTTCCCTTTCCATTTTCTAGAGTCTTCGCTTAGTAAATCTGGCAGTTAAACAAAGAAAATCAAACCTCTGGCTGTGGATTCTTGAATTGATTCTGACTCCCGGTGACCTAAGGGGTCAGAGTAGGACGATGCTATGCTTCCGAGGGTTTTCAGTGGCTGTTTTTTCTTCAGAAGTAGATCTCCAGGCCTTTCTACTGAGGTGCTTCTGGGTAGATTCAAACCACCAACCTTTCCGTGAGCGTCTATTCATTTGTGAGGCCTAGGGAGTCCACCTTTTGGGCTCTAGGAGGACGGATGCAGAAGCAACCAAGACCTGGATTCAGATGCCAGCGTTTTCCTCTGTGATCTCCGTTGCTCTAGGAAGTTGTGCAATAAAGGGTTTCTGCTTTACTTCAGCACTCGGTGGGTCAGCGGTTCTAATCCACCCACCACTTCTTGGTGGAAAACTGCGGCATTCTGCTCCCATGAGGATTTAGTCACAGAAGCTGAAGAGGCAGTTCTGCTTTGTCCCGTTGGGTTACTAGGAGGGAGGCAGACTGGACTCGAGGGCAGTGAGTGCGTGAATGAATGAGCTGTATCTCATGGTCTCTTTTCACTCTGTACAAGGAAATAAACACGTTTAACTTGTGAAATTACAATGAGGGTTAAAGGTTAGTGCTTATATTGCAAATAGACACTTAGCATAGAGCTCAATATTGAGAATTCGATTGTTACTATTTAATAAACTGCAAACAGAGTTAAGATCGTGGTTGGGAAACATTTTAAAGAGTATGTGTAGAAATAACAGCCACCTTTCCAGCCTTCAAATGTACTTCTTAGAACGATTTGTTGGGGCGGGGGTGGGGGGGGAATGAGGAAAGGAGAGGAGCTGATGCCAAGGGCTCAATGGAAGGTAAAGTCTAGGAAATAATGATGGTGACATATGTACAAATATGCTTGATGTAGTTGATGTATGGATTGTTCTAAGAGCGGTAAGAGGCCGAATAAAAATGATATTTTAATTAAAAAGACCAA